GCCGCGGGCACAGGCAGCGCCGGTACCAGGGTCCGCGCCATGGAGCCCAGGGGACAATCAGGCGGGGCTGGTTTTTGAGAGATTAACCGTTTTACAGGTTTTTTGGGACATTTATGAAGGTAGAGTTCACTGCGATGCCGGAACTAGACAGCAGCCCCGCCAAACCGTACAGCGTTCTCACGCCGGATCGCTTCGAGAGAGCATTCCCGCCGCACAACTAGGGGACGTCCTGCACTCGGAAACGTTCAGACCCCGGCTCGGGCAGCGGCCAGCGCCCGGTCAGGTGGCAGCAGGGAAGGCTGCCGTTGCGCCAGTCCCTCCGTGGTGAGACGGGGCCGCCTACTCCAGAACCACAGTCCCTCCTGCTGCCTCCAGCGCCGCTTTGATCTTCTCTGCTTCCTCCTTGGAGGCATTAGCCTTGATCTCCTGCGGAAGGGACTCCACCTTTGATCTTCTCTGCTTCCTCCTTGGAGGCGTTAGCCTTGATCTCCTGTGGAAGGGACTCCACTAGCTTCTTCGCCTGCGGGAGGGACAAAGTACGAGACTTGTAAACTGGCTTTCACTAACCAGATTAACAGATTTAGAGCCATGAGCCTGACCTCTGCATAAGCAGACCAGGGAAACTCACCGACTGGTCTAAAACCCAAGACTTTTACTTGAACTACAGCACATCCTGCCGGAAGACATCTAAACCTGACTGCAAGTGACGGCACATCCACTATAACTCTTCCCACCGCACGCACGGTGCTCCCAGAGGTGCAGCCCCAGCCTGAGAAAGTGCCTGGGACGCACGCAGTAACCTGCCAAGGCAGCTACCGGCCCGCGTTGGGTCGACTTTCTTCAGCGCGAATGTTTTGGTTCACATATTTCCGCCAGCGGGGAGGAGAGGCCGTCTCAGGGTTTGTACGCGGCTGTGCAGGAATCCGCTGTACCAGGTAAAAAAGAGTTCCAGTACAGACTATGCTTGACAACACAATCTTCATAGTTTCAGGACTTTTTATACAAAACTGTTGGTACTATGCAGTACTGCGATATTTAAGGCAAACTGAAAAGCTGTTGAATTGATTTAAAGGGACTTCCTGCAGTACTGCTGCACAGAAAGGGAAGGGAGCCCGGGAGGATAAGCCCCTGCCGCAGTCAGACGCTCTTGCTCTTACACCAAGCAGCAGCAACAAACCTATTTGGCTCCTTAAAAACAAAGCCCAGGGAAGTTCCTACGGTGAAGAGCCGCTGCCAGCTCTCTGCTGTGTGGCACTACAGGTATTCAGCACCCAACAGATTGACCATTGCTGACAGAAAGGTTTTGTTGTTTTAGTTCACGTTGGGCGCAGTGACGATGTATCCGTGGTGGCAGAAAACGCTTTTTTTGCTAGGGACGAGAAGGCGTAGCTGTGCAGGCAGAGCTCGGCAGGGCAGGCATGCCTTTACTCCCCAGAGCCCAGGACAGTATCCGGAAAGGAGCCTGTTCTGGCTTGCTGTGATGAGGACAGGCAACACAATCAAGGTTATTCATTTAAGATCCTTGCTCACTAATGCTTAACTTCTGTTCTAAAGCAGCCTCGGTCAAAGGAAGCAGCTGTTCAGAGCTCCCAGCAGGAGGAAGAGCAGGGCCCGAGCCAAGCTGGACTTGCACAGTAACAGCCACGGGGCAGAGAGGCAACGCGTTTCCAATCCCAGCCAGAGCATACGAGGACGCCCGCCCAGGGCTGGTGAAGACGCAAGGTAAGTGTTGGGCCGGCTCTGAACAAGCTTTCAGAGGTGCAAACGGACTCGAGTCCGGCCTGTGCTGACGACATGCCCGTCTCATCAAGCAGTCGTTTCTGTAGGGCTGACCTGTTCGAGTCACATCAGCACAGGACGACCAAAGATTTTACTAGCAATGCTTTCTTCCAAATCATTAACAGCCTTAAAGGATTCCCTACAAAAAATAGATTCCCTACAAATCTCATTAAAAACACCTCAACTGGATGGCAATAAAATTTACAATACAAATGTACCAGCCACACTTTGAATACAACCTCTGTAGACAGAACCAACCATCAGTAGCAGTTTGTTTTGTGTGTGCGTGTCTGTGTTAACCAAAATACCAGGTCGGGTAAGTCACACTCGACAAAGTTTACCTGCAATAATCTGCATCTACCAACCTTGTACCTGCATCGGAACTGTAACCAGCTTCTTTGACAGGTTCCACATGCTAAGCCAAGCTGATTTAGCATTAGTTCTCCAGACAGCTTTTCATTATCCACTGACTGTGTCTGTTACAGGGTTTTGGTATTTTAATGTTTGCTTGGGACTGATAATGGATAAACAACTGCCAGACCAACCAAGCTGATAGTCAGCTAATTATCCCAGTGGGCCAACGAAACTCACGTCTCTGCCACCAGAGTTTCTCTGTCATTGAATTGTTTGCTTTGCAATGTATCAATATAAACGGGTCAGAAGATTTTCTGCAAATCCTTCTAATATCCCAGGCTACAAATAAGAGCAGATTTTACAACGCTCAACATTTCTTCCTTGGAACTGGATAAATAGAAGGTGCTACTATTATCCCCAAGATATGAGAGCATCATCCAGTGGAGAACTGAAGCACGTTAAATGCTTCCGCAGTAGCAGCTGTATCACCCATTCTTTGTTCTGAGCCTACATCATTGCTCAAGGGCGTGAGCTCCGACGCTGCATAGGACTGTGAAAGGTCCGTCTCCTCCGATGAAAAAGGAGGAGGCATCACCTACAAAAAGAGCTCTGAAAAGGACTGGAAGCATGGATTGCAAGACGTGTGAATTAGAGAAACTCATCTAAATTCAGAGATATATTGGCCTTGAAAAAGCAAAAAACTTTAGGGGAAGGCAAGCCAAATCCAGCTGTAGCGAGGAATCCTGGCTACCCCCAAGTTCTGCAGGAAAGCTCACAGCAGCTTTTAGATTTGGAGAAGCCGAGGCTGGCACGGAGGACTTTGAGGTCTTCGCTCTGAGCCTCCTTCTTCATCCCACCGCTTCTGCTAGGGGCTCAGCTGTTCGCCACACAGCAGAGCTGGGAGGGAACAGCCTTCTCTAAAAAACGCCAGACAAACAGATGCAACCGACTCCTGCTCTACACCTCGTCCACATCTTTGCACTGAGGTGTGCACACAGGCAGAGTGTTCTCCTAAACACGGAAACCCAGGCTCCCTTTTGAACAGAGAACTGAGGCCGCCGCTCGCAACGCGCTTCAGAACCCGTCCGGGCTCGGGGGCGACGCGTCAGGGCGGCCGGAGCCTCAGGCAGCCCCCTCCTCACCTGCACGAGGTTCACTCCTGGCACGAAGTTCTTCACCTCCTTGATCAGCTTCACCTTGTCAGCAGGCTTCAGCTCCGTCAGCCGGACAGTGAAATGCGTTTTCTCTTTCTTGAGCGGGACCTC